AAAAAAAAAAAAAAAAAAAAAAAAAAGAATATAGATGGATGACTGGTCTTAGCTACTTCCTGCTGAAAGGGGGCACTGTTTGGGGAAAATATAAGTTGAATTCCTCCCAGAGATTTATGCAAAGGCCACTGGCAAAAGGAAGCCATTGTCCCCGGCTCCAGCTTCCTGCCTGTTTGGAGCTTTGATGGCCTCTAGGTGAGAGAAACAACAGCTTTAAAAGGTTAAATGTGCATAGATCTAACATGTGTGTTATACAAGGAAAGAATCTAGAGCCAATTATAGAAATAAAGAGTGAAATATACTAACTACATCGTACCCCAAGCTGTCTCACCCTGGTGAAAAAATTAAATCTTATATGGGAGTGGTTAAACTTTATGAAAGATGTAACTGCTCCTGCCACATCTGTAGCAATTAACAGGTGACCCTAAGGAAATCTCGGCTTTGTGGCTTTGCATGGTGGCCATTAAAGCTTCTACCTCTTTCTTTTGTTTAAAAGACTGAGGTGGCCACTTTCAGGACAGCCTCTAAAGTACTATCTGGTTCCAGGGTCTGTTTCCGGGTATAAACTGAAGGTGGTAAAGTTTGTTGGTTGCCTATTCTGAAAGATAGGGAATTCAGAATCCCTCATTCCTTTTTTTTTGTTGTTGTTCTTTCAGTGAAAACTTGGGTTGTGAGGGAGAAAGAAAGCAGGTGTCCCCCTTTTGTTTCATCCTTAGTCCTGAGTCCCAGCAACATTGGCTGGTGCTACCTATGGGAAACAAAGAGGCTTTCACCTATGTTAACAGGGAGTCTAGGGATGGGAATGTCTACTCTTACCCATGTATACCCCATCTCCTCTACTGTCACCAACCTTTGAGTTCCCTGGGCCTCATTTATGCCATACTGTATGGCCTCTTTTCATGAAGTGGGGATTTAATTGGCAGGAATTTGTCCTGCCTGTTTATAGTATGCCTGCTGTCTGGCTTTGGATCCTTCAGATCTGGCTTTCCTTTCTAAGGCCTCAACCTTGGAATTGAGTTTAAACAAAAAAAGTATTTCAGGGACTGCATAGATTTATTTAGATTAAGTCTCAGATTCACTTTGCCAAACGTGCTGTCATCAGCCAGCAGGGATTGCTCCTCTGTTGCTTCCCTACCATAAGCAGAGTGCTGAGGTAGAAAGAGAACTTTCTCATTTAGAAAAGAAGAAAAACAACGTAAAGTGCATAGGTGGGGGTGGGGGAAGCTGGGGAAATAGCCTTTTGCGTTGTAGAAATGAGTTCCTTTAATCACTGTGTCCCTTCCCTGGTTCAGACCAGCTAGACCTCTGAGAAGGGAAACAGAGCCAACACATTCCTATTACCTAAAAGAGAGGTGGTAGGGTCTTGGAAAAAAGAGATTCAACATTTCCACATTTTAACTCACCCTTTTGTGTATCCTGGATAAACACTGAGATGAGAAGGGGTTCTTCCCTTGACCCCCTTTGTGGGATAGAATTGGAGTGGCTTCTTCCTTTAGCCCACCACTGGCCACTTTTTATGAAAAAAAGCATGCAAACAAGTGTGGGAGCCACAGGGATCAGCTGGTTGCTTCTCTCTGGCAGGAACAAGCTCTGTGCTGTCCTTGCAGCAGCAACCAAGCCCCTGCCCTCTCAGCACGTGGGTTCTCATTTGGTGTCCTGGAAGTATCAGGTCACAGGAACAAAGGATTGAAGGGTGGTGCATGTGGAGAATTCCACTGGCTGATAAAAGTGGCTCTCAGTGGAGGGGGGAACGGAAAGGGACTGGTGCAGGAAGAAGCGATCCTTTCCTGAAGCCTCACCATCTGAAATTAGCCACATCTATCTATAGTCTCTTGATGCTCAGCCAGTTGTATCCCCCCTGGTCAGCCACTTGTGTTGCTCTGCACCCTGAAGTCTTTTTATTGGCACAGAACAGGGGCTTGGCATTCCAAGAAAGCAACATTCGGGCAGAAAAAGGGGGTCAGCTGTTTTCACTTAGGGCCTTGGCTCCAGGTTTAAGGGTGGAGTTAAGCCAGGAGTCCACCCATTCTTTATCTCTTTCTCTGAAACAGTCTCTCTCACTGTGCTGAGACATCTGGAACTGAGGGTGTGGTGATGCATGTATCTCTATGGCCACCGCCACTAGGACTGTGCTGTGTCAAACCTGAAGCCAGCATTGCTCTGGGCCTTGCACAAAGCCCGTCTCCTCAGGGCAAGGTGTTGCCTCAGGCCTTGGGCATGTCCAGAGATGCTATCTGGGAGCCAGGAATTGGAGTCAAAGACCCTGGTAATTTGCCTGATGTTCTGTCCTACTGCAGTTATCACTTAAACCACAATACAAAGTACTTCCTGCTCTTCTATCTCCTTTTCTCTCTCTCTCTCTTTTTTTTTTTTTTTTTGGCTTCAGCTGTTGTTTACTGACATACAGGTGGGCTCTCTAGCCACAGGCCCGGAGGTGCCGCAGTAGTGGGGGAAAATGGAAGGTGGAGTGTTTGCTGCAGGACAGCTGAGTGGAGGGCGGGGACAGGTGCGAACTGGGGAGGCCAAAGGGTTTGCGGAGCAAGTAAGGGCCAGGGCCAGAGTTGGCTTAAATGGAACAACTGGCCTGTGTGCTAAGGCCTCTAACTCTCGCTGGCTGTTTCCTGACCCCAGACCAAGGTTGGGAGTCCTCTGGGCATCCATTTTCTAAAGGAACTGAATGGAGAACACACAGGAAAGGAAACTGTCACTCTCTTGCCATCTGGCTCCTGGGGCCTCCAGTCCGGCATTCCTCCTTCTTCCCTTGATTGGGTGGGGCCACATGATGGGCAGCCAGGATCTGGGCGGTCCCACTAGAGCAGGCTGTAAACACAGCCATGTTTCAGCCAGGCGTTTATCTTCTTCTCTGGTGTCCCAGCCCACTAGTGCCGCATTACAGCCCCGAGTGAGCTCTACAAGCATTGCTGGCCTAATGGATGGGTTAGGGGAATGGGGTGGGGCAGGGGTTGGAGGAGGGGCTCTGGGGTCCATCACGGCACAGCAGCAGCACGCATGGTGTTGGTGAAGCCGGAGCCAGGGCGCCACCCAGTCAGCACGATGACCACATCTCCCTTCTTGAAGCAGCCTCGGGCCTTGACAACATTCATGGCCAAGTTTACCCGGAGGTCCACGTCCTCAGCCCAGGCCTCCTGGACGGGGTCCTTACACAGCCCAGGGAAGATGCCATGGTACAGGTGGGCCTGACGAGCTGTCTGTGGATTCCATGTCACAGTAATGATGGGGGCACGTGGGCGGTGTCTGGCCACCTGGTGAGCAGACCTGCCCGACTTGGTGAGGACGATTATGGCCCCACTGCAGCACTTGAAGGAGGCCTCCATGGCACCCACGGTGGTGGCTTCTGTGGGGTCTCAAAAGCCAGTAAGCCTCTCCCAGTGGCCATCACCAGCACCAGTTCACAGATTTTTCCAGGCCACAGCCAATGTTCACTGAAAGCCTGTCACCGTTATTTTTGATATTTTCAAATAAGAAATTTACCGAGTTATATATTCGTCATCATTTTCCATATTACAGTTTTTCTGCTTGGAGTCATTTCTATTCTTGCTGAAGCACTTCTGTGAATCCTTTCAAAAAATATCATTGGATAATAAACTTTCCTAAAACTTATGTTTCTGAGAGCTTATTGAGTTGGCCAAGGTATTCAAATGATAGTCTACTTGCATATAAAATATTACATTCAACTATTTAAGAAAGTTAATATATTTACCTGGTTTCTAATGTCACCTAGGGACAAATTTGAAGTTAGTATTATTCCTCTTTGATCAGTGAACTTTTGCTTATCTAGTGGATCTGGAATTGTCATGTTTTCTTTGAGATTCTTCAGTTTAAAACAGATATTTATAATGTGTGTGCATTTGTTTTGCCTTTATTTGCCTTTCTTGTCATTTCTATGGTTGATTCCTGAACATTCTATTTATTGCATCCTAAATATTTTGATCCTTTTTATATGTTCTATTTGATAACTCATCAAATTTACACTGCCATGAGGATAGCTTCCTTATTTCATCATCTAGTTTATTAATTTCATCTGTCGTCATATTCATTTTTCTTTGTAAGATATTTACTGGGATCTTTATTTGAGGAATTAAAAATTTTTAAACATTACTTAAATTGGTGGTGTCTCATAGTGCTTGTTCCTGCTGCAAGTTTTTAATCTCATCTCTTATTTTTCTCAGCACAGTTGTTATGTTTTTTTAACATTGTGGTTTTGCCTGTATATAAATTTATTTAGTTTGTTACCTTATTTTATGGTGCTGTGCTCTTCAGGTATCTGTTTTCTTCTTGCGAGACTATCATGTTGGTTTATATATTACGTCATTTCTTAGTAACTCGTATCTGAAGAAAGGGTTGCTAAACCTTGCTTTGTGCTAGTTTATGTAAACATTCAATACGGGGTGAAGATTAGGGCAGAGATTCTGGAATTGCATATGCTTCTTGAACATAACTTAGTTTATTCGGTCATCCACTATCCAATATGATGGTGATTCTCAGGGAAAGCTCCAGGTCCTCTGATTCTTATGTTTTAATATTAAGTTTGATGTTTAGGTTTCCAGCAGATAAATTTTAAGGCAAGCAAATACATACAGAGTTTTGTTTGTGAAGAGTTTTTGTTTTTATATTTATTTATTTATTTATTTATTACTGAGGCAAGGTCGTGCTCTGTCACACAAGCTGGATTGCACTGGTGTGATCACAGCTCACTGCAGCCTTGATCTCCTGGGCCCAAACAGTCCTCCTACCTCTGCCTCCTGAGAGCTGGGACCACACATTCATGCCAGCACACCTGGCTAGGGTTTTTATTATTATTATCTTTCATTTTGTAGAGATAGGGTCTTCCTGTGTTGCCTGAGGTAGTCTTAAACTCCGGGGCTCAAGTGGTCCTCCCAACTTGGCCTCCCAAAGTTCTGGGATTACAGACATGAACCACCATGTTCGGCCTTGTGAAGAGTTATTATCATTAGTATATGCTATTTTTTATTTTATTGTTTCTGAAACTGATGATATTATGTTCCATTTATAAGTCATGGCTGATGAAGACATGATCTTTGACAAATGAATACATGGAAATTATCCTCCTATCACCTTTGTATGCTCTCATGATGAGTTACATAGATGAATGGAAAACAGTAGAATTCTGGTACCAAAGTTAATAAATTTATATAAGATAATTTCTCTTCAAATTGAGCAAAGAAATAAGTATTACCTATGTATAGAAGCTTTATGTGATCAAGGTAATGCCAATAATTCTTCTAGGCAAAATATTTTACTTTCTTTTACCTTACTCTGGGTTTCCAAGGAAACATCACTTTGACGAAATTTTACATTCTGACCTTTCTTTTTATTTGTTTTTGTTATTGTTTACTTCTCATCAGTCTCAGTTTGTTGGCTCTATTACTTTACTATTTGTATACAATTTCTTTAATTATATATAAACACTATTGGCCTGATGCTAAACAGATCAATGGGATGAGTAGACTTTTTAAAATTTTCATTATGTTTTACTTTGATAATTCTAGAAATTCTCTTCTAAAATGTATATTTCTCTGCTAATTGCTATAAATTTACAATAATATATCTTTGATAGAGTGGCCTGAAAGAAGTAGATGGAGTCGACTCTGGATTCTTTAATCCCCAAATACTCCCAATTCCAGTATTTCAATTGTGGCTGATTCCTAGTAGTAAAATAGTATTCCAGTAGATTTTTTGCTTATTTGTGTTATTTCAAAGGGCCTCAAATAGCCTCATTTCCAGCCCTTTCTATCTATATTATGGATATTGCTTCATTTCTAATGGTATTTTCTTTTTTTCCCATCTGATGATATTACTGCTTCTAAGAGGGGTAATTACAAATCTAGTATTCATGTCTTCCATTAAACTTGTCTCATCTGCATTATATATAATGAATTTAGTCAACGTTTTTGGCTGGTAAATAATAACCTTCCCTGATTTTTAGTGACTTTGGAGGTTTCTGTCATTGATTTCTAATAACTTTATCATTTCCTAAGATATGCAGGGCAAGCAGAGAATAAGTAGAGATGAAATTGTATGGTCTTTGTATTTATTTACAATATTATGTGTAAATCTATAAAAATGTTTAATTTACCTCTTGAGAAAGATACAGAATACACTCAGTAACTTATTTAACTCAAGTTTTCACATGCTACCAAAAAAAATATTTAACATGGAAATAATAAAAATAATTTAACTTTACTCACTTGTACCCAATATCAATGTGGGACTTTATAAAGATTTTATGTTTGCTTTTCTATTACCTTAATCTTATCTAGATTCCAGGTGTTATCCATGCAAATTAATTAATTTATATTTTTTCCAGAAAAGAATTAGCATAATTAGGACCTCTCAAACTTAAAATGGTAATATCATGAATGTAAACAGTGATCCCTCCCCTCTAGTTTGGATGAGAATTAGACAGTTATTTTGAATGAGATATTAGTGATTTAAGATAAATATTAATTAACTTCTATCTATTCTTCTGTAAACTGTCTTATACCTTCCCTGTAGAAATATTTTGAGGTGGCATAATAATAGAAAATCATAAAGTAATCTAACCAATGAGATAATCTTATGAACAAAAGAAGCAACATTTTTGATGTTATCTTGTAAGTTGTAGGAAGTTGCCATTTTAAGAGAAGGAAATCTTACAAAACACAATAAAATGTAGCTCCTTAAAATATGATGTATATTGTGAATAGACAGAGCAAAAAATGTACTACAGTTTAATACCCATAGATGAGAGAAGGCCACCGCTGTACATACACAGACCCTTTCAAATTAAACATTGTGTTTTAATTGAATTGCCTGCTGAGCCAAACAAAAATCAGGTCTCTCCCAGAATCAGACTCTGACTGTCATGCACTTTAAGTAAAAGCAAGCAAAATGCCTCTCCAGGCTTTCAGAAAATGCTGTAGCTTTCACAGAGTTTTGGAAAGCTTTTCAACAGGGGTTTTTTTTATAATTGTTTATTTCCCCAGGTTAAAAGAAATCTCTAATCACAGTGCCTTTTTTATTCCCTTGGTTACTTCCCTACCTGTGTTACAGGAAAGACCACTGGGACTCACAGTAGGAGCCCTCTTTGCAAGATTTAAACTAATTTTATACAAAGTTAGTTGAAGCTTTAGACTATTGAATTTTTTTAAGTAATGAAACTGCCTTTTAAGAACTTTTCCACTGACTGTTCCTTCATGGGATCATGTATAGTTTCTAATTGGCTCAGTAAAATCTGTGCCATATATACATATATATGTTATATTCATACAAATTTATATGGAATATCGTGTTCACATAACAATAGATTAGTATAGTATGTATGCTGTGTAACATATGACAAAAGTCAAATTTTTTACAGAAAATTATATGATATACAAAAGGCAATGTAAAATATGTGTTTAATATGTGTTTAAAATAGTTTGCAATGTAGTTAAAAAGGAAGCACTTACTATATGTCAACCTGATTAATCAATAGAACATTGTTCCTTAGAATCCTTCTTCATCTTCTTTTTTCCACGTGAACTTCTCTTTCTACTCTCGTGCCAATCACTGATTTACTTTGATTTTTGTGATAAGCATGATATACCTGTTTAAAATAACTATGATATCCTCTCTGTATATATTCCAACCTAATATTAAGGTTGTCCTTCCTTTCTGAATTTGTAGAAATGAAATCCCACCAAATGGTGATGTATGCTTATGTAATTCATTATTTCATTATACAACTTTATTGCTAATGGTTACATTGGTTTCTGTTTTACAAAAATGAATAAACTGCCAAAAATCCCTCTTAAAAATAACTGTTATGCCATTTCTGTGTATATTCCAACCTTATATTAAGTTTTTCTTTCCTTTCCGAATTTGTAGAAATTCCACCAAATGTTGATGCATGTTTATGTAATTTATTATTTCATTATATGACTTTGTTGCTAATGGATATGTTGGTTTTTGTTTTACAAAAAAAAAATAAATAAATAAACTGCCAGGAATATTATGGTATGTGCCTCCTTGTGCTCATTTTCAAATAGGTTATATTCAGGTTCATTTTTAAGAAGAAAATGCAAACTACTTTCCAAAGGGTTTTTAGAATTGCATTTTCTGTTAATTGGCAGATCAACCAAACTACTATTAAAAACGTCAAAAGGTATACTAGTTTGAACTTTTTTCTTACAAAACATTACAGAGTTGGACAGTGAGGCCAGCTTCCTTTACCTTTCATCTCCCCAAACTCTAAGGGTTTTGTCTTCATTTAGATGGTATTAGGGCTCAATTTTATATCCAGATTCCTATGAAGGGGAAAAATAAAGCAAAAGTATAGAGCAAGTGGCTTGTTTTA